GGCAAGGTCAGATGAGTCTGGGCATTTAAAACCTTTGAGATTGATATCACCTGGTCTTCCCAGACGATGATTGAGAACAATCCATGACACTGGCAGGTCTCAGCTTGGCAAAGGGGGCAGTGCATGCTATAAATTCTGCAGGGTGCCCAAACTTTTGCAGACACCATTTTTTTGTTTTCTGTTATTTTGAAAGTGTAAATGATGGACATAAAATCTAACTTTTGTTGACATATTATAAGAATGTCTAATTTATAATTTGATGCCTTTTGGAGATTTTTCCATCTTTCCTTGGCTTCTTTATGCACATTAATACAAAATTTTAGCTGGGGTGCCCAAACTTTCGATCCCCACTGTATTAGTTTCACCTTTTAAGTTGCATTACTGAAATAAACAAATTTTTTGCACGATATTCTAATTTTTTGAGTTCCACCTGTATGTGATCCAGCCTGCCCGTGCTGTCCGCCTGCCTTTTAGAAAATATACTGTGTTTGGGTGGGGACTGGTTAATATTAAAAACATCCTGCTAGCGGCAAATCAACATTAGGCACCTCCAGAACATGTAGATAACATAAACCTGTCCTGAAGTGCATCTAGACCTTGTCAACAAATACCTGCAAGAAAGGTTGTACTTTCTTAGGGGAGTCTATTATACTCTGTAGGAGAGCAGAAATAACTGCATAAGCCTCGGGAATAGAGGAAAAAAACTGCTTCTCTACAGCCACCCTGAAAAAAATAGAGAAAAAACTGCTTCTCTAACCAGCCACCATAAACTATGTATTAAGAACAGCTTAAGTTTACGTGTCTACACCAAGAAACCACACACCCCCGGACACATTTCACCCCGCCCACCTGGGTTTAGTCTTAGGATCACAGTCTAATGTTGCATAAGCCTTAGGGATTTTACATCTGAGGCATTCTTTGCAATGCCACAGCTCATCCATAAATAGGCACAGGCATTGTATATATTTTTCTTTATTTGATTAGGTCAGCCTGAAGTTGCTGGAAGGATTTGAATGTATTAGCAACTCTGATCCTTTCAATTCTCATAGCCCAGTCTGAATGGCTGTGTATTAACTTTCACAGTAAAGATGTCAATATATATGCTATATTGCCAAGAGTATTGGACCAGCCCTCCAAATCATTGTATTCAGGCATTTCAATCACCTCCATGGCCACAGGTGTATAAAATCAAGCACCTAGGCATGCAGACTGCTTCTACAAACATTTGTGAAAGAATGGGTCGCTCTCAGGAGCTCAGTGAATTCAAGCGTGGAACTGTGATAGGTTGCCACCTGTGCAATAAGTCTATCTGTCACATTTCATTGCTTCTAAATATTCCACGGTCAACTTAGTTCCCAGTTTGTTACAATACCACTAACAATACCATGTTAGTGGTATTGTAACAAACTGGGAACAACAGCAACCCAGTCATGAAGTGGTAGGCAATGTAACATGACAGAGTGGGGTCAGCACATGCTGAAGCGCACAGTGTGCAGAAGTCGCCAACTGTCTGCAGAGTCAATAGCTAAAGACCTCCAAACTTCGTGTGGCCTTCAGATTGGCACAACAACAGTGCGTAGAGAGCTTCATGGAATGGGTTTCCATGGCCAAGCAGCTGCATCCAAGCCTTACATCACCAAGTGCAATGCAAAGCATCGGATGCTGGATACTGTACTCTAGAGCAGTGGACACGTGTTCTCTGGAGTGACGAACCATGCTTCTCTGTCTGGCAATCCGATGGACATTTCTGGATTTGGCAGTTGCCAGGAGAACGGTACTTGCCTGACAGCATTGTGAAAGGTGTAAAGTTTGGTGGAGGGGGGATTATGGTGTGGGGTTGTTTTTCAGGGGTTGGGCTTGGCGCGTTTGTCCCAGTGAAGGGAACTCTTAAGGCATCGGCATACCAAGATATTTTGGACAATTTCATTCTCCCAACATTGTGGGAAGATGGGGATTGCCCCTTCCTGTTCCAACATGACTGCGCACTAGTGCACAAAGCAAGGTCCATATAGACACGGATAAGTGAGTTTGGGGTGGAGGAACTTGACTGGCCTGCATAGAGTCCTGACCTCAACCTGATAGAACACCTTTGGAATGAATTAGAGCGGAGACTGCGAGCCAGGCCTTCTCGTCCAACATCAGTGCCTGACCTCACAAATGCACTTCTGGAAGAATGGTCAAACATTCCCATAGACACACTCCTAAACCTTGTGGACAGCCTTCCCAGAAGAGTTGAAGCTGTTATAGCTGAAAAGGGTGGGCCAACTGAACATTGAACCCTCAGTATCAAGATTGGGTTGCCATTAAAGCTCATATGTGTAAAGGCAGGCGTCCCAGAACTTTTGGCAGTATAGTGAAATTATGCTGTTATTAAAGATTGGCTGTAGAATTTACTAATAACAGGCAGCAAAGAGAAATCAATGTGATGATGTTTATTTTTAAATAATAAATCAAAAAGTGTTGTCCTCCAATATATACAATATGCAGTGAAAACAAGGATGCTAAATAAAAATAGAAAACAAATCCTCATATGTCAACGTGTGAGCAATATACAAACAAACTGTATCCCCATACAAAAACATGAAAAAATGATGTCAACACTTTCACCATAAATTTAAAAAAAAAAAATGTAATACACTCTAATACTATAAATTGTTAAACAAAACCAGTGTCCAATAAAACAAATAATTGCAGTAAATCCAATTTCGTGCATCCCTCTGTCTTCTCCACAAACAAACACCAACACCACAACCTAAACTTGTGAATAAGAGTTGGATGCTAACCCTCACATGTTGACCTCTTAGATTAGAGGAGGTCAGAAACCGCATACAATCATGGCCAAAAATATTGGCACCCCTGCATTTCTGTCAGATAATGCACTTTGCCCAGACAATTGTTCCAATTACAAATGTTTAGGCATTCTCATGTTTATTTCTTTTGTTTGTATTGGTATGACACAAAGTAGAGAAACAAAAAGCCAAATCTGACACTTTCCATGCAAAACTCCAAAAATGGACTAGACAAAATGATTGGCACCCTCAATTTAATATTTTGTAGCACACCCCTTGCAAAAAATAACTGAAATCAATCGCTTCCTGTAACCATCAATGAGTTCCTTACACCTCTCTACTGGAAGTTTGGACCACTCTTCTTTCACTAACTGCTCCAGGTCTCTCAGGTTGGAAGGGTTCCTTTCCCATCTACTGTTTTGAGATCTTCATGGGTGCTCCTTGGGATTGAGATCTGGACTCATTGCTGGCCAGTTCAATACTCTCCATCACTTCGTCTGAAACCATTTCTGGGTGCTTTTTGACGTGTTTTTTAGGTCATTCTTCTGCTACCAAATATTAATTTGAGGGTGCCATTTTTGTCCAGTTCATTTTTGGTGTTTTGCATGGAATGTTTTAGATTTGGCTTTTTGTTTCTGCACTTTTTTGTGCCGTACCAATGCAAACAAAATAAATAAACATAAGAATGCCTAAACATTTGTAATTGCAACAATTTTCTGGGCAAAGTGGTGCATTATCTGACAGAAAAGCAGAGATGCCAATATTTTTGGACATGACTGTAGATAGGATAGAGTCTGCCTGGGCTCGTAGCCTCCCTAGCGGTCTGATTATGTCAGTATTTCTGTGCTCAAAGCGGTAAATTTTTTTGCATGGAAATATGTAGTTTTTTTATTGTAGGCCTGTAATTTTTAGGAATAACTCACTGAAATCTGTCTGAACAAGAGTCTAGTAAACATCCCGGGTATGGTAAAATTTGAAACGCGAAATCATAAATTATAGTTTAATAAATAATCATAAAAAATAATATAATAATACATTTAATTCAATAATATAATCAAACCAAAAACACTGAAATTTGAAATATAGCGCCAAGTTTGCACATCACTTAGCAAAGTCGCAAAATTGTTTTCAGTGTCTGATGACGAATTTCCCCACGAATCATTATCACTGAATTCTGCAAGTGGTTCTAACTTACTATCACGGTTCTCTAGCTGATCTAAAACCGCTTCTGACCTAAAGGGACGCTTTTTGGACGCCATGGACATTTCTCAGTTTCCAGCCAGAAAGAACAGTAAATATGCAAGCAGGGCACAGGAAAAAGCACTAGGGATAAAAAGTATGTAAAATGCTTTAATACAGTAATGTTTTACTATGTGATTTTAGTGTATTGAGTGAATGTCACTTTTTGACATTTTTAAATTTCCCGCCGTTCCGTCCCGTTCCGTGTGTTCTGACGTCGCAGGGAACGGAACCCGGAAGACAGATGCCAGCATCGGCCAGAGGACATTGCCGGGGACACTGCAGGAGGGACATCGCGGGAGCACAGGTCAAGGTAAGTGCAGAAGGGATCCCTGAGCAACGCTGCAGGGTATTCCCGAGTGTAGCTCGGGGTTACCGCTTGTGGTACTGAAACTTTACCCTGAGCTACACTCGGGAATACCTCCAGGGAGGTTAAATATCATCCTCCAAGTCTGGAACATCCCAGTCCCACTGATCGCTCATAAATACAAGAAGAGAACCATCTAGTGTTCACTGTATAATAATCTTTATTAAATATTGTAAAAATCCACTAACATGTAGCATGTGAAATACACTTTAGGAGCAGATCAATCAGAAATTCACGCATCTGGCCCCGTGTATCAAGCTCCAGACGGAATGTTTGCAACTCCGCCCACTTGCTTGATGACATCATAGGATGCACACTTGTTACATGTTACGCCCTGATGGACTGATGGACTTCCTCAAAAGCTTCTGAGGAAGTCCGTTAGGATGCAAAGTGAGTGGATCATTTGATGTTATTAAGCAGATGGGTGGAGTTGCAACCATGCCATCAGGAACCTGTGTGTGAAAGATATGAAGCACATATTAGTGCATGCTGCTTCTATTAAAATTGATAGGTAGAGAGGTTTTTCACTCATCACCTTCTGATTAAAAAAAATACAAGCTGTGTTTGGGATCCTGAACTTATCAACTTTATTGTTTGTTTTGCAGTATATATCTGGCTTGTGTGGAGCTCTGTTCATTCTTGCAGGGGCTATTGGAGCTCTGATACTTGGCCTTTATGTTGACCGGGCAAAGAAATTTACAGAGGTTGTCAAAATATGTTTCGCTTTGACAGCATTGTTATTAACAGCATTTGCGGTGGTACGTATGGTTGTTTTACTCTTATTTAGGGTTTAACATGAAATTTGCATACTGTATACAATCTATAAAATCCACCCTCCTTATCTGAATTGTGGGGTGCATCTTTCAGGGGAATCCTTTGATTGTTTGAATTTAGCACAGTTGTGCATGGCTGTTTGCACTCAATTACATCATCCAGGTCTGGGTTTAGTTCCTACATGTCTCATCTGTCATTATGGCTATCCCTTTTCCCTCTTTGCTTTGCATTTTAGCTACACTTTCTCCAGTCAGGTACAGACCTGATTCTAGGGGAATCCACTGCTCCCCCAGTGCACCAATCACGGGTGCAATGCTCTGCAGGCTTCAATGCAAGCAATTCGTAAAAGCACATTTACTAACTTTTTGAAAATTGTGGACTAAGTCTGTAAAGAAGAGATGCAATTTAAACTCTAGTTGTTGTGCATTACTTTTGTTTTAATGTAATAAATGTATCAAATACTTTCTGAATACAGGCTGAATACAGTCTTCTGAATACTGATATCAACGATTTTAAGTTAAGAGAATCTAGCTGCCTTCAGTTTTAGTGAATGATTCTCTACAGGATGCCAACTGTTGCTTAAAGCTTTCAAAAGACATAAGCTGTTGCAACCAAATCTGCCACTTTTCTGTGATCTCGTGTCTTTGTGACATCCCCGATGCTACCAGTTGCTGTCTGTGGTGAACTATTTATCAGGCAGGCTACTAAACCTAGCCTAGATTTAAAAAATTCAGTAACAGCCCATTTGCAATTCACAAAGGTTGCATCTGCTTGTCCAGTGTAGAAACCATCCGAAAGCACGTAATCTATGTTAGGAGGATATACCTCTATCTCCAACCAGATTTGAGAAAATGCAAAGTAAATTATTTTTATTTCTAACACTGAGGCTTTTGAGGTTAGGTTGGCCATACACAAAATAGGATTTTTGAGACTGAAGGAAAAACTCCATCTTGTCTGCTGTATGGGCAGAAAAAAAGGACATATTCTTACTTTCAGGAAACCAGTGCAGGAATCATGTTAATGAAGTGTAACCAGAAATTGGAGTTGTAATTAAAGTAGAACTATAGCCAAAACTTTTTTTCTTTCCTTGTGCATAGAGCAAGGGAGGGTTATAACTCCTGTCAGATTTTTTTTTTAGCCATCTATGTACCATTTCAGAGATTTCCCTTCATTTTCTGTTCTATAGTCAAACAGGAAGTGAGAGGAAATCCCTGCAAATTAAGGGAATTCCTTGGGGACCCCCAAGTCACCAGAACTAATGTTCCCATTGGAATATTTCCCATCTGTTAATTTTCTGGGGACAACCCAACATTTGGTATTTTCTTTTACTTTCCATGATAATGGTAAAAGGAAAAATAAAGAGGGTGAATCTCCTTAACGGGGACACAGACAGCAGTAAAAACTGACAGGTGTTCTAATCCATCTCCACAAAAAGGTTTTGCCTTTAGTTATACTTTAAAAATTCCAGAATAAGTGCAACAAGTACTGTACTGTGAAAAAAAACACACAGTTCAACAAATGGGAGTAAGCAAGTGAACACAGCAGGCAAATAGTACAATGGAGAATAACGAACATACAGTGATAACAAAAAAAATGACAAAAGTGTAACATACTTTGTGATAGTATATGACCAGCTGAGTTATTTTTATACCTAGGTGTCAAATTTGAGGAACCAACCTGTTCTGTTGGCAATCATATCTTCTTTTCTGGGCTTTTTTTGTTTTGCACAATATCCAATTACAATGGAGCTAGCGGTGGAGTGTTCCTACCCAGTTGGAGAAGGAAGTTCAACGGGTTTGGCCTTTATTTCGGGGTAAGTGGCAGTAAGTGATAAGCTATACCACAGTGGCATTCTTTACCTGTCTGTTAATGACTGCCCAAAAAAAAGAAGAACCAATAGCACAACATTTATGTTACTATAACTGTATTTTGTAGTTACAAAATGTATTGCTCTGACAGGCTAAATACTCAGTTACAACCCTACCCTACTGACAGATCTGCCGTCTGACAGCTCTTAATTAAGGGGCAGGCCTAGTGGCATCACTGGGTGACCCTGCCCCCTTGTGACATCATCGACCTGGGACTGCCCCCTTGTGACGTGATCGACATGCTGGGTCAGTGACATCAAAAGGAGGCAGGGTCACCTGACAACATCACCAGGTGGCCCCGCCCCTTAGTTATTTAAGAGCTGTCAGATGGCGGAGCTATCAGATGGCGGGAGCTTTTGTCGGGACTGCAGGGTTTTTCTTTTTTTGAATTGGTGGCAGTGGGCATCGTGATTGACAATGGATCTACACCGGGGGACCTTTTTATTTGTTAATAAAGGACTTGTCAAAACTTTTGTGTGTTGTGTTTTTATTTATTTTTTACCCTTTTTTGGTGAGTGGGGGGGATCACATGGGGGAGAGGTGGGAGATAGAGGCCCCCTTGCTAAAGGGGGCTTCCAGATTCCAATAAGCCTCCCACCAGCAGACCCCCACAACAACCACTTGCCCCAAAGCACCACCCCATGTTGATGTGGCCTGGTATGGTTCATAAGTGTGAAGGGGGTGCTTTCTCACCCCCCCCCCTTTCCTGATCTGCCAGGCTGCATGCTCGGATAATGCTTTGGTATGGATTGGGGGGCGCCTACACTGTTTTTTTTTTTTTTGCCGGCAATGGTATTTTTTTTTACATTCAGCTGTACAGCTGATGACTTATGCATTGTTAAGGATGTGGCAGATGGCTTCCCAGCCTGCTCCTTAAAGCAATTCTAAAAGGTTAATTTTTTCTAAAGCAGTTTTTAGCTTTCCTATTGTGCATGAAGCCTAAATTTTCTGCAAAAATATACTTTTTCAGGATGTTTTAAAAAAAATATAAATATGTGTGTGGGTTAAAAAAAAAAATAAATAGTATGCCTGCACACCAAGTAAATAGTATGTCTGCACTGAGCTTTGCCCTTACATTTGCTGTATTGCAAATTGTACTTCTATCTGTATCTATGAAATGTATTATAAGATATAGTAAAATATACAGGATATGTATAGTGTTACCCTGTACACGTTTAACCTACTATATGCCAGTGATATAACTGGCCTGTAAAGCTAGCCATACGTTATACAGTTTTCTTTTTCAACTTGCCTTAGATTTACCTTCAACTATGTAATGAAAGAGCCTGCCTGATCGCATACGAATTGAAAGTGTTTAGGTTTGACCTCATATTATATGGTTTTGGTAAATCTAAAGGAGAGTTGTCTAAGAAAGTTGTATAATGTATGGCCAGCCTTAGACCCGTTACATGTTATCTACCTGCAGAAATCCCTTTCCCATTCTTTCAACTTCTGCTCACTGTTAGGCCAAGCATAAATGAAAGAGGGTGGCTGGACATGCAGGCCAGATCAAAGTGTACTCCAGCAAGTGACTCAGCTGACTCATCTATAAACTTAAATGCTCATTTCAGCCAAGTGTTCATATTTATGTTATACAGATACTGTACACTGGAGAAGGAGCAGGACAGTAGTAATATTAATAATAATATTGGACCTAGGCATGAACATTTGACATGGGCTTGGACAGGACTTTTTGTTTTTAATTACATGTCAGGTGCTTGTGTGATATTCACTGTCTGCAGATATCACTTTTTTTTTTCTCCATTTTACTGGAAATTAATAAATGTGTTTTTACATGTGAGTTACTTTGCTTGGGTGTATTATTACCTACTTTGATAGTCTGCGTCTTGCAGCTATGACTCTTTTTGGTTTTTGCATTTTGTTAGGTTTACACCCACACCTTAATTATTTGGTGATTCTTAGAGCTTATCACAAGGCTATCCCGCCTAATCTTGGTGGTATTTTTTCCAATTGTTGGACAGGGCTGGACCATTCCTAGTCACCAGGTCACCAAAAAACTCTCCAGGAAATGTTTCATTGAGAAGTATTGCTGGTGGGGAGGTATGTGCTGAAATTCCAGAGCAACTGATAGATAAAGCCAGTACTGCATGAGAACGTAACAGCTAAGGTGATTTTGTTGACAGCCAGAGGTTTGCTGAGTTAAAGCCGCATACACATGGGCCGTATATCAGGCAGTATCCGCTGGTTCAATAGAAAAATTTGGCCCTTGTGTACAGTAGAGAGTCCGGCTTCTGTGGAAGGGGCATGACCAAAAAAGGTCTGACGATCGGCTTTCGATCAGCGCTCTCAGCGAATGAGAGCGCAGACAGGTGTGTTCTGTCCCCCTGTCAGAACACAACAGCACAGCGGGGGAGATTGTTGTACTTACATCAGTTGTGTTAGTACAGTGATCTGTTTTTTTTTTTTTAATTGGTCCACTGGGTTGAAGGAATAAAAAATGATAGTGTGTACAGGACATAAGTACTGCTTGTGTGTGAGAGAGGTGAATTTATCTCAGTCTGTCTCTAACCACATTGGCTGTCAATACAGTCACATTAGCTGCCACATTCTCATGCTGTGTTAGCTTTACCTAATGATCGCATGGGAATTTCTGCACCTGCCTCCCCACCAGCTATAGCTATATCTGCATGTTGGGGAAAACCGATGCCTAAATGCTCCTCCCCTTCTCGAGCCAAACTTTGTCAGCACCAGGACCATGGCTTGTCCGCACTGTGAGAGACAGGAACGGCTACCATAATGCAGGAGCCCTGGGCAGATTTGGCAATTTCTCTTCATTGTTCTTTATAGATGAAAGCTATTTTAATGTTTTTCCATAATTTTATTGTTAGATTCGTTGTTAAAAAAAAGCTTATTAAAAATTACCAGTACAAATGTTTTCCTTATAACTAGGGATGCACCGATATCGATACCGGTATCAGTGGCGATACTGAGTATTTTCACAAGTACTCGTGAAAATGTTCCCAATACTGGAAATGAATACCTTTGCGGTGCGATTTGCGTCAATACAAAATGCAAACTGTACCACAAAGAATAGCATGTGATTTGAACAAATGTGATTCCTGTCCAAATTACATGTGGTTTCCCCACTGCTTCTGTGTGAACCCAGGCTTGTCATAGCTTGAGTTCACACAGGAGCGGTGCAAGAAACCTCCCTGCATGAATCCCATGCTGGGTGGAGAGTGGGAGTGTGGCGAAGTATAGCATAGAGGGGCAGATGCTCCATATTCACAGCTGTAGGAAAGAAAGCTGCAGGGATTTGAAATTTCTCTTCTCTCCTTGCAGGGATGACAGTTCGGGCTAGAGGGATTTTGATTGGTCAGCACCGTCACATAGACAGTGCTGACCATTCAGATGCCATCTAAGCTATACTGTCATCCTTGAGAGGAGAGAAAGCTGTGGGAATTTCAGACCTGTGAAGCTGCTTTCTCTCCTCTCCTTGCAGGGATGATAGTACGGGCTAGACAGCATTTGACTGGTCGACACTGTCCATATGACAGTGCTGACCAGTCAGATGTAGTCTAGCCCGAACTGTAATCACTGCAAGGAGAGGAGATAAAGCCGCAGGGATTTAAAATCCCCACCGCTTTCTCCCCTCTCTTACAGCTGAGAATATGGAGCATCTGCCAGCATGGTATACATCCCCACACGCCCCACTCTCCACTGCCGGAAACCTCCCTGCAACACTCCTATGACAAGCCTGGGTTCACACAGGAGCAGAGTTCAAATCGCTTGCTATTCTTTGCAGTGCAGTTTGCATCCATACATTTTGTAGTGACGCAAATTGCACCGCAAAGTATCAATACTCTGCACCGGCAAGTACTTGACCGAAAGTATCGGTACTCGTACTCACTAATCAAAAAAGGGTATCATTGCATAGCGCTGGTGCCAAGGTTTTTAAAAGATGGCTCCTTGCCATCTTTTGTCCAGGCTTAGACTTGAATGTCTGTTTATATCTTGGACTGAAGAAACATCTTTTAATTGTCAGATCATTGGTAAACAACCAACTTTCACCTCTCTTTATACCAAGAGCTCTTAGCAGGCAGTAACCTAAATTATATGTTGTTTGATGACTGCCCTTTCTACTGCCCTAAAAAAGATTTTAACTGTTAATTATTAACTAAGATTTTAAGATTTAACAGTAATTACATTTTTAGAGAAAATATGAAATACTGGCATTACTAAATGTAAATTGTTTTGTATCCCAAGTCAGGTCCAGGGATTAATCTTCATGGTGCTGTTTCAGATGCTTGCCAAGCCTTATGCTGCCCCTCTGCTGTCTTCCTGTGGTGTGAATCAGATTGAAATTTATGATTGGTCAAGTATGTTGTAACTTTTTATTTCTTAGTTTTCTAAGTACATTAACTGTGGGAGCCATACTGTTATGAGAACATAAACCTGGGAGACTAATTTACATTAAAGAGTGTAGATGTCTTACAGATATACTTCTTAAGGAACTCTTAAAGAAAAGGCAGATAATACAAAACATTAAATTGGATCCTTATACTGCTTGGTTTGGACACCATTTGTATGGGACAAGGTTAGCTGATTGAACTGTTCATAATTCCCTCTACCTTGACTAAAGCCCCAGTTCCACCTGAAGAAAAATAGCCCCAAAGCAGGATGCTGCTACCACCATGCTTCACTGTGGGTATGGTGTTTTTTTGGTGATGTGCAGTGTTGTTTTTGTGTCAAACATATCTTCTGGAATTATGGCCAAAAACTTCAACCTTGGTTTCATCAGACCATAACACATTTTCCCACATGCTTTTGGGAAACTTCAGATGTGTTTTTGCAAACTTTAGCGGGGCTTGGATGTTTTTCTTTGTAAGCAAAGGCTTCCGTCTTGCCACTCTACTCCATAGCCCAGACATATGAAGGATATGGGAGATTGTTGTCACATGTACCACACAGCCAGTACTTGCCAGATATTCCTGCAGCTCCTTTAATGTTGCTGTAGGCCTCTTGGCAGCCTCCCAGACCAGTTTTTCTTCTCGTCTTTTCATCAATTTTGGAGGTACGTCCAGTTCTTGGTAATGTCACTGTTGCACCATATTTTCTCCACTTTATGATGACGGTCTTTACTGTGTTCCATGGTATATCTAATGCCTTGGAAATTCTTTTGTACCCTTCTGATGGATACCTTTTAACAATGAGATCCCTCTGATGCTCTGGAAGCTCTCTGCGGACCATAGCTTTTGCTGTAGGATACGACTAAGAAAATGTCAGGAAAGACCTAAAAGAACAGCTAAATTTTATTTGGGGTTGATCAGAGACACTTTAAATGATGGCAGGTGTGTACTGACTCCTACTTAACATGATTTTGAATGTGATTGCTTAATTCTGAACACAGCTACATTCCCAGGTATAAGAGAGTGTGCACATTTATGCAACCACATTATTTTAGTTTTTTTTTATGTTTACTTCTCCCCCCCCCCCCCCCAAAAAAAAAAAAAAAAGATTTCAGTCTGTTTTTCAACTGAGTTGTACAGTTTATAGGTCACATTAAAGGTGGACAAAGTTCTGAGATGATTTATCTTTGTCTCATTTTTTTACATCACAGAAACCTGACATTTTAACAGGGGTGTGTAGACTTTTTATATACACTGTAAAGCTAAAATATAGGCAGATATAAAATACACAGAAAATGCAGCTCTGTATTCACTAATACACCATTAAGTGTATTTTTTAATGCAGCCAGTATAAGTATCTGAATTTGCCTTGGTATCAGCCTGTAGCAGTCCCTGAACACTACACCTTAGACTGGAGGGAGAAACATCAAAAGGAGCCAATAGGTTGTCCTGTAATGTTTATGTGCTAACAAGGGACAAGCTGATAGGAGCAGAAAGCAGTTTAACAGGCCTGCTTGTTCCTTACTGTCCAGTCACAGATTGGGGGGGCTGGCAAGACCTAGTTGTGTTATCTGTAGCAAAGAAATATCAGGTTCCCTGCCAGAAAAGGCTGTGCTGTGTGGCACAGAATTTTAAATCTCAGGTCTGGATGGATGGCAGGTCTGGAAGTATGAAGCTACACATTTTTTTGGCAGGTAAAACAGCTTTTGTATATGTACAGTATTTCGTCTGTATATTTTAGATGTATGCCTAAAGCTCAGCTGTGATATTATATCAGCTTCATTAGTATTTAATTGTTGGTATGTTTTTCCTTTAAACAGTTTCAACTTTGGTAATGGCTGGTTTATGTAGCATTGGAGCCTGCATTATGATCATCTTTTTTCATACGGACTACAAAAGACTAGCAGCAGAAGCAGACTGTGAAGAAAGGGCTATCAGCATAAATGATGGCAATGAACCTCATACGTAACTTGCACTGCAAGGTTGCTAACTGAAGCCCAAACAAACAAATGGACAACTTAGTCTGGCTATAATCTGAATATGAACTCAGAGCCCTGGCAAAACCTCCATGCAGGTATTTTCTACAAAAGGAGACTTATTTATTGATATATCTTTAAAAGGAGGATGAAGGTAATGGATAGTCATTTTAAATCCTGTTCTTGAATATAAATATATATGTTTTCTAATAAGATTTCATATTTACTGCTTTTAATTCTGCTTTTTACACAGTTTATTCTTAAAATGTAGGTCTTTTTTTGCACAAAAGTACACCCAATTGTACTTTGAAAGGGAGTTTGTAAAAAGGTGAAGGATATAACCTGTACATAGCTCTAAGTGTGCTGTTTAACTGCAAAGGGAAATGGGCTTTATATAGCTCAATATGCTCAATAAAGGGTTTAGAAAAGGGATCTGCAGAGATTAAAAATTTTGTTTACAGTGTCAACATGTGCAGTGCCTCTAGTTACTCCAGAACAGTGGCATAACATGTCTTTTATGTAGAACTCTGGAAAAATTAAAAAAACTGCCTTTGCAGTGGGGCTTCCCCGCACTTCAAGGGTTAAATGCTTGTTTTTATCCAGGATACAATTAAAAAGCACTTTTACTTACCTTAGCCCTTGCTCTCCTGGCAACCAGCACAAATTTTAAATTTGGTTCGATTCTTCACAAACTGCAGGTGTTTTACGCTCTGTGCGCTGTTAGTCAACATATGTAATAAAACATACGTTTACATTCAATAATGTCAGAAAAAGAACATACATTTCAGTCTTGTGAGCTTCAGCAACATATCTTCTTTTGATCTGGCTGTATTGTACTTCAAGTGAGTAATGTATAGAGCAGGTGACCAAAACTGTGTGATTTGTTAAGCCAGCCATAGACTGATTGAAATTCTGGCCAAAGTTCAGTCCATCTATAAATAGGCTGCTTGTACAGAAGTTGATCTATCAATTGACTAGTACATCCAGCCTATCATTTTTTTTTGTTTGATCACTGCTGATGGCTTTAGCTGTCAGCAATGAAGATTGTATTCTGACAGCTAGGAAACCTGCAATCAGAACACTATAGTGTAGCGGGTGAGATTCCCCAATCCACACTGACTGTGTGTTGATGGGGAAATCGAGCAATTTTCTTTCCTTCTACCACAGGTTGAAGGTGGTGGGAGAAAATTGCATAATGTATGGCCAGCTTCATAGTGTAAAACCCACACTTGACTCAATGTGGTAGATTTACTAATCAAACAGCATATACTTATTTAGCAAATTCCTTTTTTTTAGCTTAGTGAATTAACGTTTAGTGAAAATTCACTTTAAAAAGTAAACATGGTGTACACCTTTAGTAAATAAGCAATGTTAATAATTGGGATACCTGATTTAAATAATTGTTTCAATATCTTAATCCTAGTGGATTTTACCATTTGCTGTTAGTGAACAAGATTATTTAAAATTATTGTGTGCTTTTGGATTAAAATTTTCCTTATTTTTGACTTTGATGAAGAGATCACATTATAGGCAGAAAACCAAACTTTGTTTTCTCTTTTAATCCTGCTATGAATATGAATAATGCTAATCAGGAGAAAAGTATACCAGAAAGTGCTATGTTTTATTAAGCATGTAAACATTTATAGTGTTGTTCAGTCAACACTCCTTGCAGTGTTTGCAGACTGGGTGTCCTCTAGTCATGTGTAGTTAATGTAAAGGCAAAATACAATGGTTTGGGGTCTGTTTTTTTTATCAGGTGTTTGTTAATTTTTTTTATTCAACTTTAAACAGTGTTTTTTTTTTAAATAAACTAACATTTAATACATGACAAATGAATTACATACTGTAGTACTATGGGTTAATTGTAGAGATGCTTGCTTTGAGTCTGATTAAAGCTTTTGAACTGAACCATCAAATACGGGATGTGTCATGGGGGTTTAAAGTATAAGTTTGGCTTTCGACCAAAAATACTAAATGCACATTTTTTTGCAGGTAAAAAAATGTGCGTTTATTATTTTTGTCTGCAGGAGCCTGTAAAGCATTTCTGCTGTTGATCGCTGGTGCCATGCAGGTCTCCTGCAGGCCTGTCAGTACATCTGCTTGCCCGTACGGGATGTACGAGCAAGTAGATATACTGACAGGATGATTCAATGAATTACCACGGCACTCCGCAGTGTCATGGTAGTTCATTGAAACTACAAGCTGACAACCGCTTAGGCTGTCGGGATATGCATTTCTATCTTTCACAGAACACTGTGAATCAATGATGTGGCCTTGTGGGCAGAGCCCTGCACGGCCGCACTGTTTTTTAATAAGTGACAGCTAGTACTGGGAAATATTCTCCCCGTATTTCTGTCACAGGAAGGGGGGGCAGCAGCTGTAGCATTGGGAACATGTTACATGTTCCACTCTAAAAACAGGTGGAACATGTAACCAAAGGTGAACTTATCCTTTTAATAAAAGTAGCAACAGAGAGTCTGAAATGTAAGAAAACACTCCACCTACTGGTTTGAAGGCATAATGTTAATTTTCCATATTTTAAATGTTTCTTAGAAAAAAAAAAAAAAAAACTGTATTTTTTTTTAATTTTTATACTGTATTTTATATAGGGACCACATGTATATTCATTGATGTGGTCAGGAAAGTAGTACCTAGCTGCCAAAATGTATCCAATTCATTTAGCCACTTTCCTCTAAACAGTGCCACATACTGTAAATGTTTATTTGCATAAATGCATAGTCCCCTTCAAAACTAAGCCTCAGAAATGCAACGGTTGATTTGTACACTAAAGCCAGGTAACTAAGGGAATGTGCAAAGTGCAGTAACCCACAGCTACCAATCACAGGTCAGTATATAGAAGTCAGATAAAGATGAAGTACTTGCTGTTGGTTACTTCACTTTCCTTTTTTTTTTACTGAATATTAGGCCTCCTTCACACTAGAACATTGTGAATCGCGAGCAGAATTGCTGTGATTCTGCCCAAGATTTCAAAACGCTCTGTTAAAATGACAAATCACAGAACTGCGTGTTCAGGTGTTATTCATGTTAATGGCACCTGAAAACGTGGTGCAGTTTTTACGCAATTGTTGCGCGATGCAGTTCTTGAACTTCTTTTGGGCACTGCTTGTTGCGTGATGAGGTTTGCTGTGATTGTAACACAATTTATTGCGCGACATTCGTGGAAGAACCTCACTGTGTTTTCAGGTCCCATTAGAATTAATGGCACCTGCACACGCGATTTGTCATTTTAACAGAGTGTTTTGAAATCTTGGGCAGAATCGCAGCGATTCAAAATGCCCTAGAGTAAATGGGGGCCTCAGTGAAAATGTAGGAGCCTCCATGAGCTGATAGCTCATTTGTTCTTTTGTATTTATTTGCACTTGTTTGTAATTTGATCTCTGCTTTTTCTAATCGATGATAATGGTACAAAAATTGTATGTACATCCATATATGTGTAATTTGTAAATAGTTTTGTTGTTTTAATGCAATGTTTTCAAATCCCTCCTCAAATAACAGGCATATATGTAACCTAGCATACATATAAGGCATTTGCTATTATCACATCACAATGTTCAAAGCTGTTTGTTATAATTTTGAGTAAAGATTTTATTTAAATCATTAAATGACTTGTGAATTAAGTATGTTTCTTATGTGATATAAATATACATATTTATGCTTCTTGCACACATAGCCTTCCAGCAGGTAACTCATTCTGCTCAATCCTCTCCTCTTAAATTCTTTAAAGCAGAACTCAACACTACCTGAGCACCACAAACTGTAAATGCTATTTAATTTATTTTTAATATTCAAACAAATCTCTCCCATCCATCCATGTTTCTATGCTTTAGTGAGAAATCACTTTGAAAAACATGCCCTAGCATTTCTGGCTGTGGCTATTTTGAGTAAGGGCAGATGATTCATATAGCATTTACTTTTTGGAATTCATCTGCTTTTAGCTCAGGTGTGCAGGTGGGAGGGTGTGCTTAGCTGAGAAAACCCCTAATCCCATCCTACAGATGAAAGAAAAAAATGCCCTTGAAGACTCATGGTATTTAAGACATCATTTTGACCTAGGCCAGGAGTGTCCAAACTATGGCCCTCCAGCTGTTGAAGTACTACAAGTCCCATCATGCCTCTGCTTCTGGGTATCTTGCCTGTGGATGTCAGAGTCCTGTAGGGCCTCATGGGACTTGCAGTTCCTCAACACCTGGAGGGCCATAGTTTGGACACCCCTGGCCTAGGCCAAAAACCAGGAAGCAACTGAAGAAATTAAAAAAAAAAAGCTTAAAATAGGTAAATACAATATACTTTCCTATCTATTCAATAATGCTAGCAGCATAAGGATGAAAATGTTGATTGATAGAGTTTAGTTCCGTTTTAAAGGACAAGAAAACTTTCCCACAAAGTTTCCTTACCTTTATTCCCCACCCCCTAAGCAGGTGCAGTCCACCTTTCCCTCTAAATCACTTTACTAATCTAGATCTTGCCCCAAGGCAGATGGTATTGTTTACAGCTGACTTCCTAATCCTTACCCTTTAAGGTGCACCGGTTGGGTGATTATATGCTGTTAAAGTGGCTTCTGTCCTGGTTAGAGGACATCACTAACATTTTCAGAAATTTGTATCCAGAGTTTGCATGGTTGCCAAGTAGCCTGCCTCTTCCCAGCACATCCACTATGATATGTTTAAATGCCTTATTTCCAATAGCAAAGGAATGAAAAAGGAGTGAGAATACACAAATATTATGAAAGCTTTTGTCAAAATTAATATTACAGATCACATTGAAATTTCAGCCTCCTGGGGCAATCTGCGAAGTTGCTGAAGGTGGAGGTGCCTGCAAACTAGATCAGCTACCAGCTTGACACTGCAGAACTACTCCACAGGTTTGCTAAATAGTTTTTCCACATTTACAGTTAGGTCCATATATATTTGGACACAGGCACAGTTTTCATACTTTTGGCTCTGTATGCCACCTGAATAAATTAAAACAAACC